AACCTCTAGCTCAGAGTTCTCAAACTTCATTCCTTTAGATTTATCTGGCAAACATGAAAAAACCCAAAAATCAATACTGGACTCAACACGAAAATTCCAGTTCAGTTGATCTGAGATGGAGCCTGGGCATCACTATTTTAGAAATCCCCTCCCTTAGTATTCTCATTCCAAATGCTTTACAGTCATAATCTCATTTAACCCAAACCTTCCAAAAATCCTAGAAAGTATTCTCATTTTATGAATGAGTGACAGAGGCTCAATGGGCTCAAATGGGCTTAAATAATAGCCCAGCGTCATATAGCTGGTAAGGGAAGAGATCAGACCTAACCTGGGAGCCTGAATTCCTAACCTTCGTATCATTTAGCGCTGCTGTACCTATCTAATATGGTCTTTGTGAGACTTAAACACTGCAAGTAAAGTGCACAGTTTTAGGACTGGAACATATTAAGTGACAGATAAAAGTTAGCCATCATCTTCTCGTAACACCAAAACAGAGATTCCTCTGCACTTTCTCTTGTTTATGAAATTCCCTCTCAGGTAAATCTTCAACCTTTTTTTGGGTCTTCCACTTTTTCCTCCCGATGAATACACATAGCTGCTCTCCCGATGAACGGTAAAACACTTACTGCAATGGCCTGGGGGAGGCAGGGTCCAGAACCGCCTTCCCGGGGACGAGCTTCTTTGGCACAGGAGTTACGTTGAGTGGAAGGCAGTGGAGAGACCCGGTGGGCTCAGGAGAAACCCCTGCCTCTCCCTTAAGGGCCCACGAGAATCTAAATTGGGGGCCTTGCCCATAATAAGTTATTGCCAGAGATAAACTTTATGACCTACCTATAAGGCAGGGCAGATTTCTAGTTACTACTGAACAACTGCTCTTATCTCCTGAGAATGACCTTCCTCCCCTCTGAAGCCCCAGGCTTCATCCTTAGCTCAGGAGGTTACATCTACCTCATTTTCCCTGTCTCTTAACCTCTCATATATGCGGGGTTTCCACACATATGTATGTATGTAACTAAATTGTTATTTTCTGTTGTTAATCTGTCTCATGTAGGTTTAATTATTAGACCAGCTGCAAGAACCTAGAAGGGTAGAGTGAAATTTCTTCCTTTCCCACAAGGTTCGGCCAGGGTATGTTGTGCCTGATGGAGGCAAAGAGGAAGAGAGAAGACAAGAGACCCAGACACTCTCAGAGAGGATGATGATGAAGCCTGCCTGGAATGCCTTGAAAGGCAAGCCAAAGCTCAAACTCTTTGGTGTAATGTTCAATAAATGTTTTTCATATAAATAGTTTGCTAAAAAGTGGAGAATCAGAGGAAGGGACTAATGAGGGTACCAGACAAAGGAAGGGGAGCAGCTATGGAAGTGAATATTGGGGATCCTCCTTTCTTTCCAGCTGAGTCACATCAGTCTGGGGCAAAAGTAGGTTTACAGTTGTGAGTACACAAAACCCAGAGTTTATTCTTGTATTATTTATTAATTACTGTATTATTTTCCATGCAGACAACTGTACCCCTACTTTTGCCCCACCCTGTATTTGTTTGGAGGCTTATACTGTATTTGCATTTCCTGTCTTCATTGTTGAGACAGGCATAGGAGCCAACCCAAGAGAGAAATGAGCACTTGGCTCTCAGGCTCTTCAGCCCCTTGTTTAGGTAAAACATGGTGAAAATTTGTGTTCCTCCTGTGACTGAATTTACAAAATGGAGTGGGTAATTACAACGTGAGATTGTAGGAAAAAACAGGGTGTAAAAAGAAGTGGGGAAAGTTTTCACCAAAAGTTCTACCTTAAAGGTCAGGATGGCATTACTTCTTGGTAAACAACCTTAACTTACTCAGCTTTCCTAAGTTAAAAAGGCGAGGGGGGAAAAAAGGTGGGAGGGTGGGTGGAGAAATGGAAAAGGACCAGCGAGAGCTTTAAGATCAAAACTGTTCTAGGATAAAAGAAAATAATCACTGAAATTCAACCTCTGAGTTTTCAAAGGTTTGCCATAGGGACAAATTGCACGGATAAGTCCTTTGGGTGAGATGTGCATTTACCAAGCTGAATGTTTATAGCCACTGCCATTTGAACCTCAATTCATTCAAAACTTACCCAATACTATATATATGATCTCTTGCATTAGTCTTGTACTGTTTTTAAATTTTCAGAATACTGAACTTAATACTGTATGTCTTATTTCCCCCAAGACTGGAAGCTCTTTGAGAGAAATGGCTGTATCAACCCGCCCACACCCACTCCTTACCAAGAGGGTCACAATGAACTCAGCTAATCTACTGAACCTTTAACTCTTCCATTTTTTGGGGGGGGAATACCCTTGGGATACGCATTCTAAAAACAGACACATGTTTTTCGTGAAAATCCAATGGCCAAGAGCTCAGGCAGTGCAAACACATTCTTTCCACTCCTTCAATTTAATGGCAAAAGATTGCTTAGATTTAGGAAGAAAAAGAGGGGATTTCTATTACAGTGTTAACATATGAAAAAGAAGCAACTGAGAATTCTTTGGATTTTAGGCAGCATCAGGGTGCAAAGCCCAGGCCTCCCTTCAGTGCTGAACACCAAGCTCCAGGTAATATGCCCTAGCTCCCTCCCCCCTCCCCGCCCACCGCACGGACACTTAAAGCTGACAGTTGTTTGGTACATCATGGTCCACACCAAATGCAAACTCAGGGCTTCTCAGCGGGGCACGCCCACAATAAGAGCAGAGGACCCTCAAAGGGGAGCAACCCCAGGAAGCAGTCAGAGGCCCCTTCTCCAAAAATCCCCTTCTAAAGATAACTCGAAGTAGCAGAAGGGCTTTTGTATGCGGGCAGAACTATACGCCCAAGGACAGGCACGTATGGACTGGAGCAAGGGAGGGCGGGCACAAACCACGCAGGGTGATGAGAGTCCACCTCGCGGCCAGAGTATTGTGTGTTAGCATGTGAGCGTGTGAAATCTGCTCTGGAACCGGTGGCCGGGCAATCTAGTCTGGTCTGGCATAGCCTCCAGGTCGAAGAGAAGCAGGTGGCTTTGTTCCCGGAACCTGAATGAGGGAGCTGAGCCGGGCTTAAAGAAGGCAGTGTTCCGCGGCGGGAACAGGTAATCTACGCTGAGGCTCGGGCAGAGCGCGAAACTCCCTCTCAGGCTTCCGGACCCCAGAAGCTGAATGCACTGGAAGCAAGCAGTGTAGACAGCCTCTATGGCCTGCGAGCAGCGCCCTGGATAGCCTTGGAGCAGGCCCGGCCGCGTCCCCCAGCCACAGCCGGCTGTCTCAAGCTCCAGCCACTCTGCTGCGCAGCCTGCACTACCTTCCTCTCGAAAATAACACCCACGTGCGCTGGTAAACAAGCTCTCGCGGTTGGCGGCGCCGCGCGCCACAGGCGAGCCCGTGCGGCGCGCGCCTGCCCTCCTCCCGCACGTGTCAGTGGGCTCCGCCTGCGCCGATCCGGCGCTGCTCAGGCTCCTCCCCCCTCTGCGGGCCGCGCACAGCCCCCAAGCCCCCGAAGTGCGACGGCTCCGGGGCCTTAGCGCCACCCCCTACTTCGGGCGCGCCCCGCAGAGTGCTCTCCGACTTTCCTCCTCCGATGACACTTCATCGCGGCGGGACCCATCGCCCCAGGTCTGCTGTCTCCCACCCGTCACCACCCCAGTCCTCTCACGTTCCTCTCTTATTAACTTTCCCTCCATTAGCGCGCGAAGGATTGGCTTATGGTTTCTCTCCTCCTCCCTCCCACCTCTTAGAATTTTACTCGATTGTTTATTATTTGCTGGGGGGGGGAGTGCGGGGGGCGGAGAGGGGAATCTGGGACCTGGAGACTTGAGGCCGCGGCCAGTCAGCGCGCGGTGTGGCTTGACGAATAAGCCGGGCAGCGAATGGCTTCGCAGTATAGAGCTCCCGGGTCACGCGCGTGCGGATACAATGACATCATCTGTTTGTACGCGTCAAACTAGCTTGGTGCAGGGGCGGGGCCGCGCGTCACTTGAGTGACGGGCCGCGCGCAAAGCCCGGAGCCTGGAGTTAGCCGAGTGGGCGGACTTCTGCGTACGCTTGGTTGGACTTTTTTGTGTATCAGGGTGGTGCGCGCCCGGCTGTAGACGCTATCTCCAGTGACCTGGAAGGGTTTAGAGGGGGTAGGGGGTGGGGGGTGGGAGGGGGAAGATTTTTATAAACACAAGTGGAGAGTTTTCGTGTGCATGTAGCATGTAGTCTATTCTTATTTCATAGATGAATGATTTGGGCACTGATGATTGGATAAAGACTTATAAAGCTGTCTTTTTAAAAAAAAGTAAAAAATGCACAATTAGACGTTTGCAGTCATTTACAAATTAGAATAAAATGATTTTGCATTCACATTTGTTCAAAATCTGCTCTTTCATTTGGAATAGGGGAATAATTTGCTTTTTTCTGAGTTAGTTACACTTCTCCCCTCGTTTGTCATGAAATCATAAAAAGTGAAACACGATTGCTCTCGAGCGTCCTGGGTGAAACTCAGTGCAAACCTCTTGGTGCTCGATCAAATCTGAGGGCATCAGCTTATCGAGGTCCTAAAGGGACCAACATCTTCGCTTGTCAGTATTTCCACGCCGTGGTAACCCTTACCATCTGCGGTCAGCATCTTATCTCGGGTGTTACCTGGTGTCCGGTTCTGAGAACCGGACACTGGGGCAGGCCCAGAGCCTAGGGGACAGGCGCGCCTGCCGGGGACCCCGCGTACTAAGCGCCCTGCCCCGAGTCAAAGAGACCACTCAGATGCGCTCGTGGAGCGTTTGGAGCTCTGGGCGCTCACCTCCCTCTTTAGGGCCAGCGTCGCGCTTTGTTGTTGTTGAGGCTCTGGGGTGGGAGCAAGAGCCCGGCGGGGACTGCTGCGGGAGCCAGCCAAGTCCGACCCGAGGCGCTCACCGACACCCACGCCCGCAGCCCCGCGGAGCCGAGTCGCGCAGGCGCGCACGCGAGCGCACAAACTCACACACACACACACACACACACACACACAGACACCAGCACACACGGGCCGGCCGCCCAGCCCTCCCCCTGGGCGGGGACCCGCCCGCCGTCATCTTAGGTTGAGGCACCCTGCGTGTGTCTATAACTTTGTGCTGCTGCGGCGGCCGCCCTGCTCGTGAAAGGGAGGAGGAGGAATGTGGAAGGTGGCGGCGCGCAGGCTGACAGGCGGTTCCTCAGGCGGGCTGCGGCGGCGGCCGAAGCGCCTCTCCTTCGCCGAGGTTGCGCGCCTCCTCTTCGCTGTGCCCCGGGCCCGCGCGGGATTGTGCGTCCTCCCACCTTGTCCCTGAAGGGAAGGAACCGAGGTAGGCGCCGGAGCTGTGCAGCGGGTCGGCCACCTTCCCGGTGACTCCGGATCTGCTTCCGAGCTGGGCCAGGCGCTTCCCTTTTCCCTCCCCGTGACTCGATGTGCGCTCCTCTCTTCTTTCCCGCTAGTGTTTTTAAAGGACTTGAGCGAAGGGGGGAAAACTGTCAAGATGGCAGCAGCAGGAGCAAGGAGGTGATGAACGTGCTGGTCCGGGTTTTCTGGCGGCCCGGGAGAGTTGGCGCTTCCTGACCTGTTGGAAGATTTATGTTCCGACTTGCCCCCTCCCCCTCGTCCTTTACTGGGAAAGGGGTGGAGGGCAGAACGTCCGTGAGAAAATAAACCACACAAAACCCTAAAGTAGCCGTTTCTGCTCGGCTCGACCCTTTGCGAACACTCTCCGAGCTGCGTGTCCCCCTTCCCGTATTTTTTTTCTGGAAGTGACAAGGGTCCGACGGCGCTCGAACTCACGTTCGCCCTGGCGGCCTGCGGGCCAGGAGGGGAGAAGGGAGATGCCCGCGCCCTCTCCGGGCTTGGGTCCCTCCGCTGGCGGGGGGGCGGTAACTGGGGGCCGTGGAGGCGGTAGGGACGGGGAACGAAGACGCCACAGACTTTGACGGCAGCGCCGCGGGAAGCACTTGAACGGGCTGGGGCGAAACATAAACAAACGCACGCCCGCCGGAGCTCGGGCTCGGACCGCGGCTAGGGTGCGCCAGCTCTAGCTGCTGCCCGCTTTAAAGGCGCGGGCCGCGCCCCTCCCCCGCCCCCGCCCCTCCCCCTTCGTCCCCGCCCAGCCACCTAGCCCAGGAGAGACCTGCGGATCGGGCGGCGGCGGGGGGAGGGGGCTGCCCCGTGCGAGCCTGTGGATTCGCCCGCGTCTCCCCGGCGGCCTGGCCAGGGGGCGGTGTCTGCTGCGCCAGGTTCGCGGGACGCACGTCTCCAGGTCTGCCTGCTCTTGGGAGGCGGGCACTGTGCGGTGGAGAAGCGGCGGCGGCGGGTGAGGACTCGCGGAGGACTGGGCTTCAGCCCGGGATAACCAACTCCCCTTCTCTCTCCTCTCGTGCTTCCCCAGGCGGCGGCGGCAGTAGCGGCGGCGGCGGCGGCGCCTGGGAGCTCTAGCCTTCGCGGCGTCCCCGTCCCTCCCCCGCCGCACCCCGCCCGGGCAGAGAAGGGAGCGCGAGAGCCCGAGCCGCGGGCGGGCGGCGAAGATGGCAGAGGCGCCGGCCTCCCCGGCCCCGCTCTCTCCGCTCGAAGTGGAGCTGGACCCTGAGTTCGAGCCTCAGAGTCGGCCGCGCTCCTGTACGTGGCCCCTGCAGAGGCCAGAGCTCCAGGGAAGCCCAGCGAAACCCTCGGGGGAGGCGGCCGCTGACTCCATGATCCCCGAGGAGGAGGACGATGAAGACGACGAGGACGGCGGCGGTAGGGCCAATTCGGCCATGGCGATCGGCGGCGGTGGGAGCAGCACTCTGGGCGCTGGAATGCTCCTTGAGGACTCGGCCAGGCTACTGGCTCCCGGAGGGCAGGACCCGGGGTCTGGGCCAGCTCCCGCGGCGGGTGCGCTGAGCGGGGGAACGCAGACGCCGCTGCAACCTCAGCAGCCACTGCCACCGCCGCAGCCAGGGGCGGCTGGGGGCTCTGGGCAGCCGAGGAAATGCTCGTCGCGGCGGAACGCCTGGGGGAACCTGTCCTACGCCGATCTGATCACTCGCGCCATCGAGAGTTCCCCGGACAAACGGCTCACTCTGTCCCAGATCTACGAGTGGATGGTGCGCTGCGTGCCCTACTTCAAGGATAAGGGCGACAGCAACAGCTCTGCGGGCTGGAAGGTGCGTACCCACCTCGGGCGGGCGATGGGACCCGCCGGGCCTCCTGCGCAGTGCGAGACGCGCCTTCGATTCGTCGGAGCGCTCCTGCCAGTGCGGAGGAGAGGGGTTGGCAGAGAGCCTCCGCTGTTAGGGTTTGGGGTTTGTAAGTGATTTCTGAGGAGGGGTACCTAGTACCTGGGGATGGCTGCGGAGGGATGGCGGGGAAAAGGAGGCTTCTTGGGAAGTTTCAGGCGCGGCCAGGTTCGCAGAGGGGGCTAGGGACTGCGGCGTGGGAAGGATGGACAGGAGTGTACTTGCTAGATTTCAGGGACATCGCGTAGTAGGTAGGTCCGCGGCCAACTTTGGAGTAGAATTCACCAGTGTGGCGAGGGCGTTACGGGTGGAGCGAGGGGACGTGGGATTGTGTTTGGACTCGGTGCGGGGACGAGCAGTTGGATTTGTGTTTTCCAGGAGCACGGTGTGTTGTCACTAGCTGGATGAGACCCTTGGGTCCAACTTTCGGGTTTGCGGGTGTTAACTCCCACAGGCATAAAGATATCATTAGAAAAATCCGTGGTTGCAAACCTTTTCTTGGCCGTTTCGCTATTGACACCATTATTTCTGAGAGATGTCCCTTCAGTAAATCTGCCTCCAGTGGCCTGTGAGATGTTCTGGGGCCTGAAACGGGCCAGTCTGCTACCTCTACGCGGCCTGGCCGCACCTGCTGCTCCGACTGAAGCCTGGACTCAGGCGTTGTTTGAGATGGGGTCCAGAGGTGGAGGACTGGAGGCCTGGTGTCTCACCGAGGCCTTGGGGAGGGAGGTTTGGGGGCAGGGCTGGGCTGTAATGGTTTCTATCAATAAGTGAACCTGAAGAGAGGCTCTCTACTGTTCCTTTTCAGCCTCTTGGGGGCACTGGGCACGTGGTAGGGAGAGAGGTGTGGAAAGGGCTATGATGTAATGACTTCCTGCAGTTGGGCATCCAAAGAGATTAGCTCTCGTGCCCCCGCTGATACCCAGCTGCTTTGCTCCTCTTGGCCCCCTTCCCCCAAGATACGAATGTGTCAGTACCAGGCAAAAGAGAGTCCTGCAGTTGGAGATACAAATTGCTAATCAGTTGCTTCTATTTGCAGTTAGCTTTTTTTTTAAAATAGGTAGTTGCTTCCTCTGCCTGTCTCTTTATTGTTTTTGGAGATCCTGTATCTTTCTGGGTTCCAGTAAGTGTATACAATAAGAAAAGTTTGACCTTAATGGAGAACTGAAGCGCGGGGGAAGAGACTGTATATGAAATGCTAAAAAATTTAGTGTATTGGCTTAATTTACTTAAAAATAAACCCCTTGCAAACTGCCTTAAAACAAAAAAAAATTATGGCCAGAACTGGAGAGGCCTTATTTAGATTTCAACCTTGTTTAGAGTAAATAAACTTTAAAAGCAAAATGTTTGCTTTAATATTATTCTACAAATCTGTTTCATTTCTTTTAACACATGCTGACACTATGAATGTTACATTTGGTTTAATTTTATTGCTTTGCAAAGGAATGATGGTTGTATGATATGAGGGGTTTCACAGAAAGGCTGAGTTCAGTTTCAAAGCTAATGTGATACTTTTTAAAAACAGTTTGAAGTGGATAGCAAGGGTTAATCTCAGTGTACAGTGTCAGGCAGCGGTGAGTTCATATTATCTAAGAAGATAGATTTGGAGGTTTGGAATATTTTTCAAATTTCTTGCACCTAAAATTTAGTCCTACATGTTTTGAATTTGGTGCACAGACCGTTAAAGTTAGGAACTTTTAATGTAGTTGAAAAAGTTAACCTAGGAAGGATTTTCACCTTTCCTGATTTTTAAGATTACAGAAGTAATTTAATTCAACAAGTAGCATTTTTTTGCTGTTTTGCTCATAGTTAAAATAACAGTTTAATAGCATTTGATTTTTAAAAAAAGATTTGTGTGAGAAAGCGATATATCAAAAATAACTGTGAATTGGGATTGGGCTAATTCTATTTTCATGTAGTTTGCAGGATTTGCGATAGAGATTTTGGGCCGAGTCATAAATTTTGTGGTTTTATGTCCTAAACATTTTTTGGTCTCAGTTTCTTATTTACTCCTCTGTTGTCTTCTCTTTAACCAAAATTTTATGATATACTCTACATTGAAACTTTCAAGCCTTAATATGTTTACAGGGCCCACATTTAGTGATTTTTTTACTGTGACTTTTTACACCAATTCCATTTCAGAGTTATTACGTGACAACTAATTCTGGAAGGCTATAGAGATATAATTTAGTTAAAGAGTTTTTCTAAGGCAGCCTTTCTCAAAAGATGCAGCCATTCAAGAACTTCCAATCCTTTGACGATGAAGAAGGCCCTTTGAAACTGGGGCTGGTTTCATATTCCAATTATGACTAATAGCCAGCCCTTTTTGTGCTTGTGGTTTAGTGGAGGCAGAAGAGGAAAAGGGAGAGAGGTCAGGAGCTAATTGTGACCCATGTTCATGTGTCCAAGTTTCAGGAGTTGATTCCTATTTATGATTAGTCATTTTGGAAGCATACGTGCGCATGTAAATCACACTACTTTCATTCTGAGTTATGCATTCGGGTATTTAACCTCTAAAAATTGTCTAGAATTCAGGTTAATGTCTCTTAGTCATGTGCGCACACAGGCACAGTACGCAGGGTCTAGGCCTTCCTTCTTTGTGGCTTTTTGGACCATTGCATTATGAGAGCCTATAACCAGAATTATCACCCTAAGACCATAGAATGAAAGAATTAGAAAAGAAGCCTTGGAGAATCAGAATTGAAACTAATGGTCTGAAGTCCTGGTTGCATGTTAGGACCACCTGGGAACTTATAAGAACTACCAATAACCAGAGAATCTGATTTAATGGTGCTGATCAGTGGATTAGTGTTTGTCGTTTCGGGAGGGAGAGAAGTTTGCAGTTTCTCAGGTGATTCTAATGTACAGCCAGAATGAGATTTGCTGAGCTCGTTCAACCCCCTTATTTTATATAGGTGAGGAACCTGATTCTTCAAGTTAATGACTTTTCTAAGATCACATGGCTACTTAGTACAAAGGTAGTTAGTAGCCACAGTTCTAGAGGTTTTTGTTCTTAATCACACTCTTTTCCTCTTTAAATTGATCTTTTTAAAAGGTTATTTACTAAGAAATGAGTAGCCCTAACATAAGTAGCAGTTACTTTCCTGAAGAACATATTTGCCTCCCAATCTAAAAATGTCTTGGTTATTGTTTCTGCATCAGAAAGACAGGTGAATATTGATGGCTGAGTGAGTGCATCATGTTTGTATAGCTGTCCGGTGCCTATCAGTATGTGTATTTGGGAACTGTGGAGTGACAAAAGTGGCAAAAAAAGAGCATTTTAACAAAAAGAGGAAGTTCCTGGTTAACTTCGGTTTGTCAGATGCATACTGTACCAGGGAGAAAGGTGATGGCTATCTCACAGGTTCTTTTGCCTCAGGCATTAAAGTAGAAATGAATAATCAGATGTGGTTAAGAGGGGAAAAGGTTACATTTCCTTCAATTCACATTAAGCTTACTTGCACTGCACCCGTAATTAAACTGGTGAGTTTTTTCAGTTCCTCCTGTCTTGGGTGTAACTCTAGGACTCCAGTTTACCTTGTAAGGCCTGTTGATCACTTACTCTCCTACATGCACTCATATACCTGCATTTCCCATGGGTCAGGGCACAGAGACATTAGGTACTCTGGAGTTTCTGTAGTGGGTCTCACAACTTAACACATGAAGGATACTTTGTGATGTCGTCTGCTGCTGCCACAGAGAGTAGTTCTTCAAGAGACTGGGTCTTCCCCTCTTAGGAGAATGTGCACTCTTAGAGCATCTTCCCAAGGTGAGAGCTGACCTGCCGCACGAAGCCTGTTTATGTGCCCACTGTTCTAGTTTTTTAGATTAATGCATCCATTTCCTTTTCAACGTACTTTACTAAGAAAATGTTATTTTCACTGCAATTTTTATGTTTCAAAATACATACATATATTTAAAATTTCACAATGACAAAAATCATAGTAATTCCATACTGGCTCATGATTTTGACCTGTCACCTTTCGAGTAACTCACCAAGGGGCCAGTTATGGTCGGGTGTCAGGAATCTGTCTTCTGCTCGGCCCGTGTTGCCAAAATGCTATTTTGTAATTTCCTTTGGCAGTACTGTCATCGTCAGTGATTCTCAACTAACATACTTCCTCTTCCTACAGCAGCGGTACACTAGGGGGCTGTTTTTCCTCTTTTCAAAGCTGTGTCATCGACCTATGAAGTGAAGAAATTGGCCCTTTTAGACTTTGATCTTTGAGCCCATGTAGCAGAGAGACTCTTTCTTTAATGGAGAAGCTAAGTGTTTGTTTTGATATGTTTATCTCCTTAGAAAATGAAATGAAACTACACAGATTTCTAGGAGAGTTTAGGAGAGTTCTATTTTAAGAGAATGGCACCATCCAAGAACATCTTGTAGTTAAACTTTTTAATACTCTACTTGTGATTCTTTCCTAAAACCTGCAAGATATTTTTATTTGGGAAAATTAATGGAAAGGCCTTGTCCCACTAAAAGGTCACTTACTTGCTCTGGACAAATTCAGCAGACTCCATCTAAAGACCTTGATTTAAAAATGCAAAGATATGACGGTTTAGTCCCGTGCATTCTGGGCAGTATCCCACTTACCCATTGCTGATGCATCAGATTCCAGATTCCCGGGGCTGGAGAGAGTGTGGAATTCATTTTGTTTTTATGCCCACTCCATTCTGCCGGTAGGGAACAGACTTGATCCTATTTTCGCCTCTTCTTTTTTCTCCTCATCCTTTCGTGTTTCACAACTTGAGGGGTCCTGAAGATCCACTTTGGCTTTTTGCTGCTTTAGGAAGGAACTTGGGATGACATACATACAGGTAGGTGAGTGTCAGCGAGTGTTACAGCTGGGGTACTGGGAGTGAGTAAAAGATTGGAAAGAGAACACTCTTTTTACCCATTTGCATCACATGCCATTTCATTCATTGAA